TCTCTCCCCCTCTCTCTTATGTCAAGGCTGGAGTGCAATGGCATGATCTCCGCTCACTGCAACCTCTGCCTCCTGGGTTCAAGCGATTCTCCTGCCTCAGCATCCCAGGTTGCTGGGATTACAGGTTCCTGCCATCATGCCTGGCTAATTTTTTGTATTTTTAGTAGAGACGGGGTTTTGCCATGTTGGCCAGACTGGTTTTGAACTCCTGACCTCAGGTGATCCACCTGCCTCGGCCTTCCAGAATGCTGGGATTACAGGTGTCAGTCACCACACCCGGCCAAGGAATGATATTTCTAATACACAAAGCTCTTTTACAAATCAGTAAGAGAAAACTCAGTAGAAAGCTAAATCTTATAAATAAGCAAATAAGAAGAGTAAGTATAATTGACACCAAAAGAATTAATGAAAAACATAACATTTCTTTTTTTTGAGACAGAGTCCCTCACCCTGTTGCCCAGATTGGAGGGCAGTGGTGTGATCTTGGCTCACTGCAGCCTTGACCTCCTAGACTCAAGTGATCCTTTCACCTCAGCTTCCAGAGTTGCTGAACTACAGGCATGTGCCACAGCACCCAGATAATTTTTGTATTTTTTTGGTGGAGATAGAATTTCACCATGTTGCCTGGGCTGGTCTTGAACTCCTGGGCTCAAGTGATCTCCTACCTTGATGGCAGATCAACGTGCTAGGATTATGGGAGTGAGCCACCATGCCTGGCTTGAAATTTCTTTATAAAATACATAATGCAAATTAAAAAGCAGCTAAATAAGGCTAGGCGCAGTGGCTCATGCCTATAATCCCTGCACTTTGGGAGGCCCAGGCGGGCAGATCACTTGAGGTCAGGAGTTCGAGACCAACCTGGCCAACGTGGCGAAACCCCATCTCTACTAAAAATACAAAAATTAGCTGGGTGTGGTGGTGCACACCTATAATCCCAGATGCTTGGGAGGCTGAGGCAGGAGAGTTGCTTGAACCCAGCAGGTGGATGTGGTAGTGAGCTAAGATTGCATCACCGCACTCCAGCTTGGGCAACAGAGTGAGACTTTGTCTCAAGAAAAAGAAAAAAGAAAAATATTTTAGGTGTATTTTTGTGGAAGATATTTTAAAAAGTGCTTATGCTCAATTTGGCAAGTGTGTTTGGAAAACAGACATTGTCATACATTCTGGGTGGAGATGTAAATTTTGGGTGGAAAACTGGTATTATCTAATAAAATTAAAATAAACATGGCTTTGGATTTAAGTATTTGACATTCAGGAATTTATCCTACAGAAGTATTCTTGAAAGAGTGCAAAGATGAAAGTATAACAAATTACAGTAATGCTTTCCCTAAATAGGAAATGATTCAAATTTTTAACAATAGGGGATTGTGAAATAAACCATGTAGCATTTACATAATGAAAAACCATACTTTTATTAAAATGGTAAGCTGTCAACAATGGAATGATGTCCATAACAGAATTAAGTAGCAAAAAAGCAAATTTCAGGAGGGAATGCTTAGAATGCTTTGGATTTCTATAAAAAAAAAACAAACCTGTGTGTGTGTGTGTGTGTGTGTATGTGTGTGTGTGTCTGTGTGTGTGTGTGTGTGTGTGTGTGTGTGTGTGTGTGTTTTGGTATATTTACAGTAAAAAAAAAAAAATCTGGAAATCTGGGTGACTATACACCAAACTGTTCATAGCTGTTATCTCTGAAATGTGTTTATGTGAAAATTTCACTTTGTATTTAAAATTCTTTTTGCAATGAACATTTTGTTTGTTTGTTTGTTTTGAAAATGATCTCCCTCTGTCATCCAGGCTGGAGTGCAGTGACGTGATCATAGCTTGCTGCAGCCTCAAACTCCTGAGCTCACGTGATTTTCCTGCCTTAGCTTTCTGAGTAGCTGGGACTAAGGGTCACCAGGCCTGGCTAATTTAAAAACTTTTTCTGTAGAGATGGGATCCCCCCTATGTTGCCCAGGCTGGTCTCAAAACCTTGAGCTCAAGTGATCCACCTGCCTCAGCCTCCCAAAATGCTGGGATTACACGCATGAGCCATTATGCCTGGCCCCAAATATTTCTTTGGTAATGAGAGAGAGACAGAGAGAGAGAGAGAGAGAGACAGAGAGACAGAGAGAGAGAGAGAGAGAGAGAGAGAGAGACAGAGAGACAGAGAGAGAGAGAAAAAAGGAAGACTGAGGAAGAGACAAAGGTTGAAACTGTAGAGATGGGAAAAGAGCCAGGAGAGGGCTAGTAGCTGGTGGACCTTCAGGCTGGGTCATGGCCTTTCTGAACTCTGGTTTCTCCATGTACAAAAAAAGGGGGTTGCATTAGCTACCAGGGCCCCTCCTGCTCTGACTCTAAGCCTTGTGTTCACCCTTTAGAAGTAAATGGAAATTAGGGAAGAAGGTGCAGATATTTCTCCAGCCAGAGTTTCTTTGAGCCTAGGACAAACAGGCCACACAACACTGGATCCTTGCTTCCAAAGCAGCAGATGAACCTGCCGGCTGGCAGACAGGCCCAGGTGTCTTGGGATGAAAGCCTTTATGGGAGAACAGGGACAATTTCCAGCCTTGGGGAATCAGAGTAAAACATCGAGATTGGGCCTCTTAGGCCATTAGGCTCTCTGCAGTCCCTTTCATCCCTCCTCTCAGCAGCTGTTCGCTGATTTCCCGGCCCTCTTCTTTCTGACTCATCCCTTTGTTCTGTCCTTTGACTGGTGGGCATAGAAACTTTTTCTGTATCCAGACTGACATGACAGGTTAAGGTTGTGTCTGGATCCCTGGATAGCTGTGTCACTTCTCACATGTCTGGCCCAATCTGCGATGCATTCCTCTCTGAAGAGGCCACATCTGGGGCTCATACCTTTCTTGACACCAGCAGCCCTCAGGGCTTCTCCAGTACAAAGTGAATGATGCTCGTACATTGTCTCTAGGGGGTCTTATCTTCTCACCAGACCCCTTTCTTGCCTTTCTGTATCTTGAAGGCCAAGCACATTGCCTGGCATCATGAATATTGTATAATGAAATGATTAGTCTTTGCTGCTGAATGTGTGCCACTCTCCAGGTTCCAGCAAGATGAACCCTTATCTTGCTTCTCTGTCTAGGTCTACTGGGATGCCATAAATGACCCCGAAATTACAGCTCCCAAAGTCTCCTTATAGTGGGGAAACCTTCCAGGTGCAACTCGGAGATATCCTGTAGAGTCTCCTGATTCCTGTCATAGGGCAGGGACGCTACCTTCATTCTGGCCTCTCCTGACTTGTGGTCTCCACTTCCCTTAGTGGCCTCCTCATTTGTACCACACCAAGGCAATGATTCCACAAGAGAAAAATCACCCATACCAAGTGCAATGGACTGACTGTCCTCCTAAAATCCATTTGTTGAAGCCGTATCCTGCAATGTGATCGTATCAGGAGGTGGGGTCTTTGAGAAGTAATTAGGTCACGAGGGTGGAGCCCTCATGAACGGGATTCATACCCTTATGAAAGAGACCCCTGACTGCCTGGAAAGTGCTGTTAAAGAAAAAAAACAAGAGAGAGAGAGAGAGAGCCCAGAGGGCTTCCTCCCCCTCTTTCTTCTATGTGAGGCCACAACAGGAAGGCATCCGTCTGCAACTCGGAAGACAGCCCTCACCAGAACCCGACCATACCAGCACCCTGCTCCTGGACTTCCAGCCTCCAAAACTGTGAGGAATAAATTTCTGTTGTTGATAAGCCACCTGGTCTATGGTACCTTGTCACAGCAGCCGGAGCTGACTCAGACACCATGCATGGGGGAGAACCATTGATTCGGGTCTCCCTGACCCCCTCTTTGTCCACTCGCATCCCTGCTCCTCTCCTTTTCCCTCTCAGTTTGCTTCAGGAGTTCCAAATTCATGTAAATGTCTTTTGTCACTTTTCTTATGTCTCTTTTCCAGCGAGCATTTTTGTCCTGTCTTCTGGCAGCTTTCGTGTCAGCCTTGTTGAGGGCAGCCAAGTAAAGAGAGTTGGGGATGGTAATGGTGGAAAATGGCTTTCATTTTCTTTCTTTTTTTCACCAGCTCTTTTCATGTAGATAAATGCTCCATTTTCAATTCGGTTTAGGTTTTGGATTAACGTCCTCAGCAGGAGGCCCCCGAGCTTTGCTCTACTTCACAGCAAGTCTGTATTGAACATCTCTTAGATGCCTGCATCTGATTCAGGAAGCACAGAGATTTCACTAATTAATCAGTCCTCAAAAGCCTATGAGGTGGGTATAATTATTATGCCCATTTTATGGATGAAACAATGACAGCTCAGCATGATTAAGGAACTTGCTCAAGATTGCACAGTGGTAGAGACAGGCTTCAATTTGAAGGCTGACCCAGAGCTACTTCCTGTCCACCACCCCAGTGCTGATTGCCGCAGACTGGAGACTTGTGATGCCCCTGGAACATTCAGTGTGGGAGTGTCTAGAAGAGGAGGTGCTGGTTACACATAGGGATGGAGAGATGTGTGGTGGGGATAGATGGGAAAGGAGGCATTATTTGACATTGCTGCTATCTTTTTCTTTTTTTTTTTTTTTTAATTTTCTGAGAGAGTCTCACTGTCTTGCCCGGGCTGGAGTGCAGTGGTGTGATTGGCTTATTGCAGCCTCCACCTCCCGGGTTCAAGTGATTCTCCTGCCTGTCTCCTGAGTAGCTGGGATTACAGGTGTGCACTATCACACCCAGCTAATTTTGTATTTTTAGTAGAGACAGGCTTTTGTTATATTGTCTAGGCTGGTCTTGAATCCCCGACCTCGAGAGAGCCACCTGCCTTGGCCTCCCAAAGTGCTGGGATTACAGGTGTGAGCCACTGCACCCAGCTCCTGACATTGCCACTTTCAAAGAACGTTCCTATAAAAGTGGTTCCATATTCACATATTTTGAGGACACAGGAGCTGGAAGGGCAGGAAATAGCATCCCCTCTGTGTCACTGCAACAGGACAAGTGTGTTTCAGAAAGCCTGTATGTAAGAAGGTTATTTAGCTCTTGAGAGGGGAGGTCTGGCTTCTTATGCAGTGTCCTGATCGTACAGAAGGCAGAGAATGTGTGCTGATTCTAACAATAATTAGAAATGGACTTGGTTTTTATGAGAAAATTCAAAGAAAAATACAGGAGAGGGTGGGGAATCTGAATTTTATAACAATGACAATGATGGCAAGAGTAGTTACCAACTACATAGAGCTTATAGGTGGTAAGCACTGTAATAACCTCTAACATGCACCCAAAACAATTCTGTGTGGGAGATGCAATTAACTGCCACCATTTTACAGATGTTGAAATCGACACTTAGAAGTAATTTGCTCAAAGTCACGGAGCTATGACAGTACAACCCACGAATTCCTGCTCTCCTATCTGCTGCTGCTTTAGCCTGGTGAGGCAGCCACCAGGAAGCCAAGGACAGTAGTTCCCCCTTATCCACAGTTTTGCCATCCATGCTTTCAGTTGCCCGAGGTCAACTGCAGCCCAAAAATGTTACATACAGTAAGATGTTTTGAGAGAGGGAGTGAGACCACGTTCAGATAGCTTTTATTACTGTTTGTTGTTAGAATCGTTGTTTTATTATTATTACTGTTAATCTCGTACTGTGCCTAATTTATAAATTAAGCTTTATCTTAGATATGGATGTATAGGAAAAAACTTAGTGTATATAGGGTTAGGTACTATCTATGGTTTTAGGCATTCACTGGGGCTCTTGAAACATATCCCCCAAGAATAACGAGGGCCTCCTATACCAAAAGGGAATTTAAGGAAGTGTAGCAGATTCCACAGGGCAGTGGAGAGTATAGGGAATAAGCATTTGAGTGTGAATACACTAGTATTCAGATGACTCATTTTGGCAGTGAAATCTGGGAGAAACTGTAATAATTTAGAATTGAAAAGTCATCCTTCTGCCATCTCCAGGCCTTGTGAAAGTAAGTTCTGGGCCTCAAAGAAGGTGGAGGGAGAAGGGATGCCTAACTCACACATTCTTCCGTGATCTGTGGACGGGCAGTGCCAAGAACAAAAGTGAGAGGGTAGAGCAAAGAGTGAGTTTTCAAAGGATGAAAAAGATAAGTAGGGATGAAAAGGTAGAACCAAGCCAGACAATAAAAGGGCACAACAGCCCTGTCCCCCTCACCACTCTGTTCCATATTTCAGACTAAGGTAGTTTTATGCACAGTGAGACCCAAAAGGTGGCCATGGGTGGGCAGCCAGGCCAGGGCAGCTCAGGCTCCAGCCCGAGGAGCAGACTGCATTCTTTGCCCCTGTCTCACAGTGGTCTGGTCTATCCATCCAGTCTGAGCTGAATTCTCCACTAGGGGCTCTCCGCTCCTCCAGTTCGACAGACATCCGCATCTTCTCAGGCATCGCCAGCTGCATCCCTGAGACACCATGATGAAGGTGAAGGCTGGAGTCAATGGATTTGGGTGTCCTGGGTGCCTGGTCACCAACGCTGCTTTTAACTCTGGTAAAGTGGATACTGTCGCCATTAATGACCGCTTCATTGACCTCAACTATATAGTCTGCGTGTTCCAGTATGATTCCACCCGTGGCAAATTCCATGGCACTGTCAAGGCTGAGAATGGAAAACTTGTTACCAATGGAAATTTCATCACCATCTTCCAGGTGCAAGATCCCTCCCAAATCAAATGGGGCGATACTGGCGCTGAGTATGTTGTGAAGTTCACTAGCATCTTCCACCGTGGAGAAAGCTGGGGCCGACTTGCAGGGAGGAGCTAAAAGGGTCATCATCTCTGCCTTCTCTGCCGATGCCCTGATGTTCGTGATGGGGGTGAACCACAGGATGTATGACAAGAGCCTCAAGATTATTAGCAATGCCTCCTGCACCACCAACTGCTTAGTGCCCCTGACCAAGGTCATCCATGACAACTTTGGTATTGTGGAAAGATTCATGACCGCAGTCCACGCCATCACTGCCACCCAGGAGACTGTGGATGGCCCTCTGGGAAACTGTGGCGTGATGGCCGTGGGGTGACCCAGAACATCATCCCTGCCTCTACTGGCGCTGCCAAGGCTTTGGCCAAAGTCATCCCTAAGCTGAACAAGAAGCTCCCTGGCATGGCCTTCTGTGTCCCCACCAACATGTCAGTCATGGACCTGACCTGCTGTCTGGAAAAACCTGCTAAATATGATGACATCAAGAAGGTGTGAGCAGGTGTCGGAGGGCCCACTCAAGGGCATCCTGGGCTACACTGAGCACCAGGTTGTCTCCTCCGACTTCACCAGTGACACCCACTCCTCCACCTTCGATACTGGGGCTGGCATTGCCCTCAATGACCACTTTGTCAAGCTCATTTCCTGGTATGACAATAAATTTGGCTATAGAAACAAGGTGGTGGACCTCATGGCCCACATGGCCTCCAAGGAGTAAGATACCTGGACCACCAGCCCCAGCAAGGGCATGAGAGGAAGAGAGGCCCTGACTGCGGGGGAGTCCTTGCCCCCCTCAGTTCCCACCACACTGAGAATCTCCCTTCCTCACAGTTTCCATGCAGATATCCTGAAGAGGGAGGGGCCTAGGGAGCCCCATCTTGTCATGTGCCATCAATAAAGTCCCCTGTGCTTAGCCAAAAAAAAAGAAAAAAATTCTCTACTAGGGTCACTCAAAAGGGCAGATCACTTAAGCTTGCTATTTCCTCTGTCCACCTCCTTCTTTGCAAGCTGGAACCCGATGTTCCACCCCTAATCCTGATGTGTCCCTGAGCCTCCATGGATTATTACAAAAAACTGCCCTGATGGACGATTAGGAAAAACTGACCCATTCCTCCCAGAGAGCATGTGCTGTGGTTAAGGAGGACTCACAGAAAGATCTGCCTGGCACAACAGCATTCGGAGCAGATGGACGGGCGAGGCCCTGGACCTCACTCTCTCTTCCCTGCTTGCTCTGATCCACTGCTTGTGACAGGAGGGGAACGGGTAGGGTTGGTGGAGGTTTGACTGATCTGGGACGAGGCTTTGCAAGCCATAAAGGAGCAGGATGCAAGGGGAGATAATGAAAAACACCAGCGTGTGAAGAAGTGCATTTGGCAAGAGAATCTAACACTTATTCTTGGGAGGTTGCTGAAGTGCGCAAATGGAGGCAGGCTGGTCCCGGCCAGTCCATCTGCTCTGAGATCTTGCTGATCTTAGTGGAGGACAGCATGACCTCAGGAGAGAGTCTTGACCTAGGTATCTTCCACCACGTGGCAAATGCACTGTTATAGTGCCTGGGCGTTTCATTTCAGTCTCTCCTGATCTGGCTCCTTATGCTTCAGGATTGTTAAAAAGAACAATATGGCAAAACCAGCATTTGAAGAATGGGTGTATTAGTCCTGCTTTTAGCTTTAGTTTTCATGTTGTTGATGCATCAATCCTCTGGCAAGCCCAGAAGTTCTTAATGGTGTTTGTGAGCCACTGAAAAATAAAAGGTTATTTGATGTGCATATGTGCATTTTCTGCATAGCTGTTTCATAGCGTAAGCGCCCATGTACCAAAAAAAAAGATAAGAGCCATTTACTTGGAGAAAATCACTATTTTGATCAGGAACCGTGTTGCATGCATGCTCTAAAAGCGTGAATGGGCTCTCAGAATATTGGGCTTCATTTTTCCCTAATGAATGATACAGGTTGAATAGTACCCCATGTTGGTGATGATGTGAGTGGATGGGCATTCATACATTGATGGTGGGAGTATAAATCGTAATATGCTTTCTGTAGGGTAACTGAGTAAGCCGATTCAAAAGCCTTGCAGTTTTATGTACTTAGTTTCCCTGAAATTGCAATTCTAAGAATTTGTCTTAGCTGTTAAGTGTGCTAGCTCTGCAGTTAGACTGACTTGAATTAAATTTTAACATTGCTACTTATTTTCTGTGTCACTGTGAGAAAGTTATTTAACCTCTCTAGGACGCAGTTTCCTCATCTATAAAATGGAGATAATATTATTTATCCACAGGATTTTTGGAAGGGTTAAATGAGATAATACAAGCAAAACACATAGTACAGTATTTGAAACAAATAAATATTCAGTATATGTTATTATTATTTAGACACAAGGATTTTATTGGGTTATTACTTATCATAACTAAAAATGGGAAACAATCCCAAAGATTCAACATAAGTGACTGGCTTAATGACACATACAATTCCACCAGTAAAAATTAGCTAAGTGAATATGTTCATAATACATCAAAAGACAAAAAGCAGGTTACAAAATAGTACGTTTGATATCATGCCATAGAAAAATGGCTGAATAAATATGTCTTCAACATTTCAGTGGTTATGTTTAAGGGGTGGCTTTTTATTATCTTCTTTTTGTTTTTCTGCATCTTTTAAATTTTCTACAATGAAAACCTGTGTATAACTTCTTGTAATAAAACATAACTAACCCAATAAAAGTTACTTTTTGAAAAAATGATGACTGATCTCTGTTGAAAAATGCTTTGTAGTTTTGAGTCATCATTTCTGTGAAGGTTCCTTTCTTCCTGTTGAAATGAGGGTTGTACTTTCTTCCCTTGTTAAGATACCAGGAAACTCAAACGAGAGGGTGAGCATAAAGTGCTTTGTGAAGAGGGGTACATGGCATGTGTGAAAAGGCCCAGATTCTTAACCTGTGGAGATTTCACAAAATGATCTGCTGTAATGCAGGAGGACTCAAGAAGTCCTGTTACCCAGACTTGGAGAATATGCCTCCAGCCCTGGGCCAAAGGCCTGTTATGATTAACTCCAGGGAACTGGTATGGACTCAGGATGAAGGTACAGAGACTTTCAGCTATGAAAATTGGTCTGCAGTCAGGATCCCAAGTTTAATCTCTGTGAAACCGATGGGCCAGTGTGGCCATGCTTACTAATTAGGCAGCAGCAATGTAATTGATCAAATCAATTCCCTTCATGACGCAGAGCCAAAGAACCCAGGGACAGCTTGAGCTTGGAAGAGCTTCCAGAAAGCCAGAGAATGCGAATGAATCCCTCTCCCAGAGATGTTAACATGGTTAATCTAAATTGCTGTGCTAATTGCTGCCTCCTTTCGCAATAATGGATAATATGGTGATGCAAAGTAGATCTCCCGTCCCTCACGTGGCCAGACTCTAGGCTGAAGAGATTTAAATTGTGCTCATTCATTTCTTTCCTGGATATACAGTAAACGTTAAACTTCATCAAGCTTGAAGAGCCTTTGATTTCTTGAAAGAAGCAAAGTCATAGCCAGGTTCTCCATTTTATTTATGAATAGCTTTAGCGTTAATTTGAAAGCCAGTGTATTGAAAAAAAGAATGTAAAAGGGAAACCATTAGAAGAAATGAGGCTTATTGCAGCAACCAAGTATTGAGACCAACACTTCAATCTATTTTATGCAGATCAAATGAAGAAAAGTACTAAAGAGGCTGCAATGGTTGAGTGAAATAAGCATGGGATTTGGTGGCAGACAGAGCTACTTGCAAGCTCAGCTCTGCCACTTATCACTCTGAGAACTTGGGTTAATTATTTTACCTTTCTGAGCCTCGGTTTTCTTTTCTTTTCTTTTCTTTTTTATGAGATGGAATCTCGCTCTGTTTCCAGGGCTGGAATTCAGTGGTGCGATCTCAGCTCACTGCAACCTCTGCCTTCTGGGTTCAAGCAATTCTCCCTGCCTCAGCCTCCCGAGTAGCTTGGATTACAGGTGTACACCACCACACCTAGCTAATTTTTTATTATTTTAGTAGAGACGGGTTTCGCCGCATTGGCCAGGCTGGTTTTCAACTCCTGACCTCAGGTGATCCACCCACCTTGGCCTCCCAAAGTGCTGGGATTATAGGCATGAGCCACCATGCCCAGCTAGCCATGGTTTTCTTATTTGCACAATGGAGAGAATTATGCTATCCTCAAAGGGTTGTGAAGATTAAATAAGAAAACATACTGAAACACCTAGCTCAGTGCTAGGGACATCATAAGTGCTCAGTAAATATTAGTTCTCCACCAGTGTCTTGTCTTCTGAACAAAGCCCTGAAATCATGTCTTTGTTCTATGCTACAAACTCATGTGTCTTAGACTTACATTCTGTGCCATTGGATTTCCAGATGATTCTAGACAAGGTAACCTGCAGACTTTCCAGAATTTATGCCAAGTTTATGTGTGAGCTCTGATTCTTAAGAGAGGGCACAATAGAATCTGAGCATATTTAATATTATACTATAATTTAAACTGTTTTCATAATACACATCACAGAATATAAAATTCAAATCATCTTGGCTGGTGGTATCAGAAAATCTCTGATTGCAGAGGGCATGCAACTTTCAGTTTAGAAAAAGAGGTCATGAGATAAGCAAGACTGAGAATATGGATTTACAGGATGTCATTCTGGCAAAACAAGTGACAGACACACTTGGAATGCCGGAGGTGGACTGGAAGGAGACATGGGGAGGCTTTGCAGGTACTGTTGCTCTTTTCTTTCTTATTTGGGGTGCTGCTTTACTGGGATGTGTTCATTTTGTGAACACTGACACGGCCATCCCTTCTGACTGGTGCTCTTTACTGTATGCATGTCATACTTCAACAAAAAGTTTATTTAAAGAGAAATAAGCGTCACACAGTGTGTATGCATTCAGTACGAGGTGGGAAAAATCCTGGAGAGGACTCATGTCAATTTACCAGGGAATTCTCTGTAAATCCTGGATCAGGCTTTCTCCTGGATGGTCTAGTTTTTATAGGTAAGAAGAGAATGCAATCCAAGGTTACCATCATTTCTGCTGGACCACGCCTGCAGCCTCACAACTGCCCTCCCCCTCTCTACCCTTAAGCCTTTACAGTCCATCCTCCACTTACCCAAGGAGGTCTTTAAAAACAGAAATCGGATTATATTGTTCCCTTTCCAAAACCCTCCTGTAATTTTCACTTGCATTTAGAGAAAATGCTAACCTTTCTATCTTGACCTATAAGGCCTCACAGGATATCCATGCTTCCTTCCTGTCTGGCATCATCTGCCACCTCTCTTCTCCTCCCTCTGTGCAGTCCAGCACCCTGGCTGCCATTTTCCATGTCACCCACCTCAAAAGCATCCCTATCTCAGGGTCTTTGCATTTACTGTCCGTACAGCCTGGGATGCTTTCCTGCGATTCCTGCAGGGCTGGCTCCTTCTAGTCACTCAAGTTTCAGCCTGTGACCTCAAAGACTCCTTCCCTCTCAGCCTTCTCATGCTTTCTTTTTTTGGTAAAAAAATTATTTTCCTTTTCAATCAGCTTCCTCAGGTTGAGCGCACGCTTTTTCTTGATCATCACCACCCTGCTCCTCTCTAGCACAACACTACATTTTATTTCCTCTACATACCCTCAATTACCTGATATCACATGTTTATTTATAGTACGATCTGTCCATGTCCACCCCTCAGGACTGTAAGCTTCATAGAGGCAGAGACTGCCTGTCTTTTTCACTCTTGTATCTGCAGTGCCTTGAAGAGTACCTGAGACATAGAAGGCACTTAATAGATATCTGGCTATGTGATCTTTACAGGCCTCTCACTCTCTGAATTTCAATGTAAATTTAGGCTAATGACAAGCCCCACCCCCCGACCTTTCCCCAGGGTTGTTGTAAAGATCAAAGAAGATAACATAGGTGAGGCACTTTAGCACAGTGCCTGGCACACGGTACAAACGGTGGCCGTGTTCCCCGGTGCTAGTTGTAAGGCGTTGTTAGTTTTACGCCCACCAGAAGCCTCTCTCGTTCATTCATCATGAGGAAGCAATCATCTTTTATTAGGGGCCCTTTGACAAAATGGTAACACAGCCTGTTGAGAGACCAGGTTTCACAGCATTGTTCTGATGTTTCTTTGGCTAAGTGTTAGCCTTTCTCTGTGTGATGTACAATAATTAACTGATTAACAGAGACCTTGTGCTACTTTGGAGCATTCTTTAAAAGACACTGCAGATGGAATTTGTATCTAGAATAATGAGTAGCCTGCAGGACACTGCACCACAGTCAGTCAGGTAGTAAATGAAAGCATAGGAGCACGACACTCTGGCCAGGAGCCAGTGGCCAGTGAGAAAGCTGATAGCATGGCTCTCTGCTGCGGCAAATGGGGCCCTTTGTTCCTGGGGCATCCTGAGTAAATGGGTATCTTTAGAAGGGTTTTGCTAAAAAACAAAAAAACTGCCTGAAAGTTTCAGAAGAAAATGGGCCCCGCCACTTTAAGAATCTGCGATGGTAAAGATGAAAGTGGTCTCTGTAAGATGTGATGTAAATAAATGAGCAAATCTTGGGTAAGGAAGCACATTGAATGGTAAAGAGGTATGGGTTTTAAAGGAAGAGAGAACCAAGAAGAATAAAACTGGGGAGTGAGAGAGAGAGAGAGAGAGAGAGAGAATGAGAGCCAATTGTGGTAGTCAGTCAGTCACCCAGGTAACAACATACTGATTGGAAGAAAATATTACAAAATTTTAGTTACAAAATGAGAAAATCATTTGTTCTTTAAAATTTTTATCTTTTTTCTTCTTATGACCTGAGGAAGAAAACATTGGGAAAAAAATCAAATGAAAAGCAAATCTTTTCCTCTTCCCAACCCCTGAAAAAAATTCCCTAACTAGGTCACACACGGTATCCTCAATTGTCTCAGCAGAGGCTCGGCTACAGCAAGCATAAAAGAATTTCGAGGGTTACCTAGATAGATCTGGTTAGGGAGAGATGCTGACAGGTGACAACAGGGTGGAAGTCATTAGACTAACGATCTTTAATCAGGTTGGAGCTGAGGAGTTAGGAACATTCATGTCTGGGGTTCTTTCATCAGGGTCTTAAACTAGAGGAACTGGCCCTGTGGGTATTATTTTTTTTTTCAGCCCTAGAGCATTTAGAGCTAAGCAATGTTTAAGAGGTAACTTTGTTTCTCTGGGAAAACATGGGAGCTCAATTTACAAACAGAAAAAGTAACTCATTTTAGTTAGTTTGTATCATTGAAACTTGTTCTGTATTATAATTCTCTTTATCCTGCACTGAGATGATCTAATTTATTATTTATTTATTTTTTGAGACGGTGTCTTACTCTGTCGCCTAGGTTGGAGTGCAATGGCACAATCTTGCCTCACTGCAACCTCTGCCTCTTGGGTTCAAGTGATTCTCCTGCATCAGCCTCCTGAGTAGCTGGGATTACAAGCGCTCGCCACCATGCCTGACTAATTTTTGTATTTTTAGTAGAGATGGGGTTTTACCATGTTGGCCAGGCTGGTCTCAAACTCCTGACCTCAAGTGATCCTCCTGCCTCAGCATCCCAAAGACTATATAATTTATGTTTTTATTTTAATAAAGAAAGCATTGAAATTATTAATTACATATGTAATAAATGAATACTTTTTCTTTTAAAAATTAAGAACAAATTTTTTGGCTACCATGTCTAATTCCATGTCCCTCCTTTATAGGGAACTATTTTCATCTTTTGGTGCATTACCTTCCAGTTTTTTTCTATGTATTTCCATACATATAGAAAATAGAATATTTGGGATTTAAAACATGTCACATTTCGTACTATATGCAATGCTTTGAAACTTGTTTCTCCCAGCAACAATTTGTCTTTTTTGTGTGTGTTTGTAGGGACAGGGGTCTCACTGTGTTGCCCAGGCTGGTCTGGAACTCCTGGGCTCAAGTGATTCTCCCGCCTTAGCCTCCCAGAGTGGTGGGATTACAGGTGTGAGACTCTACACCTGGCCAGCCAACAATTTATCTTCAAGATCTTTCTTAATTAATATCCAGATCTAATTTATTCCTTCTAACTGCTGTATTATAGTCCACTGCATGAAAGTGTGAGAGTTTATTTCCTACCTGCTTATGGATAGACATTTAGGTTGTTTCCCATTAGAACAGTATTTTTTTTTAAGCCATACTGAGCTACATAATTCCCATACCATAAATTCACCCTTTTAAAGTGTACAAATTAGTGGTTTTTAGTACATTCACAAAGTTGTACACCAACCCCACTATCTAATTACAGAACGTTTTCATCACCCCCCTAAAGAAACCCAGTACCCATTAGCAGTTATCTCATTTCCCCTTCTCGGTCTCTGCGAACACACATCTACTTTTCTCTGTGCATTTGCCTATTCTGGACATTTTGTTTTAACAGGATTATATGACAAAATGTGACCTCGTGTTTGGCTTCTTCCCCTTAGCATATCGGTTTCAAGGTTCATCTGTGTTGTAGTATGTATCTGTACTTTGTTCTTTTTTCTTTGGCTAAATAATATTCCATTGTATGGATATACCACATTTTGCGTATCTATTCTTCGGCAGATGGACATTTGAGTTGTTTCTTCCTTTTGGCCATTATGAATAATGCAGTTACGAACATTTGTGTGCAAGTTTTTGTGTCAGGACATGTTTCCAGTTCTCTTCTGTGTATACTAGGAGTGGGACAGGTGGGTCATTAGGCAATTCTTTGCTTAACTTTTGAGGAACTACCAAAGTGTTTTCCAAAGAGGATATGCCCTTCTACATTGCTATAAATGTGAGCTTTTACAACAAGAACAAGGAAGAACATGTTCATGGGCCAAAAGGGTGTGTTTATTCCTGAGACATTTCAACCATATTTGAAGCAAGCTGAAAAACAAACAACTCAGCAATGTCCAGCAGAACTTTCTGTGATGATGAAAATGTTCTAAATATGTGCTATCCAATATGGCAGCCACTAGCCATGTGCAGCTGTTTAACACTTGCAAGGTGACTCTTGTGGCTGAGGAAGTACATTTTTAATTTTAATTAATTTAAATATGATTACACTCACGTGGCCAGTGGCTACTGTATTGGATAGCACAGTACTTATTCTCTCCTGTATGTAAAAAATGACAGTACCCAAAAGGTCGCCATAAAGATATTGGAGAAGTGGTTCACCTTCTAGCATGTACCTTGCAACTCCAAGTTAGCTCTTGTCACAGATATCACAAAGAATAAATTCAGAGACTGTAATGCATTAAATCAGAATTGTACCACACTGAAATTCAGGTAACTCCCAGCTTTTACAGAGTTATGCTTGGAAAGCTGGTATTTCATGTGTCTCCTTTCAGCTCACCAGTTTAAAGAACTGTCTTTATATTGTTTTGTTTCTTTGTACAATAGGAACTCATGCTCACTACAGAGGAGCATGAAAAGAAAAGAAAAACTACCAGCAATAATTGCTGCTAAAATCTTGGGGGTGTGTGTGTATGTGAAAGCGTGTGTATATGCATGTGTGTGTGTATGTATGTATGTGTATGTGTGTACTGTTAAAGAAAACATTATTTAATAATCCTTCTTAAAGCACAGTAAAAAAGGCTTTATTTAAAACCATTGAGATGGGAACAGGAATTACTGCAATGGGCCTTGAAGTAGGGGAGAGAGACTGGGCTTAACTGTGAATACAGAATAAGCATGTGGGAATTTATAGCCAAGGAGCAGGGTTGGGGGCAACAGATGGAAAGTTACTAAGAGAAAGCATCAGGAGTAAGGATGATTCTGGCTAAACTGAACTAACGGAGTTCTTGCTGAAGGCAGGCTGGGATAATCACATGTCACTTGTGGGATACTGGAGGATAAGAGGCCTGAGCAGTCAGCTATTGAGAGTAATTAGATATTGAGGTTGATCAGATATTGATGTGGGTAGTTCTTTCTGAACTGACTCACCATGGTTCTTCCCAAAACTGGGTTTTACAAAGAAGTGCACAGATAAATCTAGGAGAAGATTCAGGAGCTGGACTCAAGTTTGGTCAAGCAAAATCTTTGTCGGTAAACACAGATTTCAACTATATTTCAGCTTTGGTAGAAGAGCAGAAGTGACATTGGAATCAATCTTGTTCCTTCCTCACAGTTCTCTTCACAATTCTTCTGATCAGATTTCATTTCGGAGACCCCGTCTCCTGGGAGAGATGGACATCCAAAAGCCCAGTGTGAAGAGGCTCAGATGGGCATGGAGGGAGGACAGAGAGAGCCCAGGAGAGACAGTAGCCACTGCCTGGGGAATCGTGGAAGACAGCACAGGAGAAGCAACATTTGAGCTGGACATTTGAATTAGGGGAATTCACAGTGGACAGGAGAGAAGGAATGGTGTTACAGGCAGAGGGAATTGCACTGGCAAAGGCTTGGGGCATGACGGAGCCAGGTGTATTCTAGGAAGGGAGTCTGCTCCTGTGTGGCTGGAGGAGCAACAGCATGGGCCACATGTGATTGTCTGCCTTCCTATCTTTTATTTACCCCAATGAGGTAAGTAAAATGTCATCCCTGTCTTACAGGCAGAAAAATGGGAGCTGAGAGAAGTTAAGTAACTTACTTAAGGTTGCATAGCTAGTGAGGGACAGGGCTGAGATTCTGATCTGTTTGAGCACAAAGCCCTATCTTGGGAGGTAGGGTACATTAGACTCCTATTATGAAGAGTCTTTTCTGTCACACTCAGAAGTTCAGAAGTCACCCTGGGTTAATTCAGCAGGGTACCAGCTTGGCTGGATCTGTGCTCTGGGAAGATCTTTGTGGCAGCAAAGCAAAGACAGTTAGTTTGTAAGCAGGTCAGCAATTTACCTTGGGCTGAACTATCTTCAGGGCATCACATACACCATACACACACACACACACACACACACACACACACCCCTTCAAAGAAAGGAGCCTTTGAGAACCCAGCCTTCTTTGTTTCCCTCTTCCTTCTCAAATGAAAACTCTGAGTTCTATGTTTATTCCAGATCACAATGGAAGAAGATTAGAGGGGCTGGGGACTCTGCTCCTTGCTGAGGGAACTTGGACTTAATCGATTCTCACATGGCTTCAGTTTCCTTATCTGTAAAATGAAATCCTTGGCGTTTCTACCTTTGCGCACCCTTTCCATCTTTAAAATTGTCTGGTTTCTAAGAGTGGTGGGACCTATTAAGGGATTTCACTCTGGTCGCATACTACAAATATAGTTTCGGACTGGCTGCCCACAAATTTGGATAATCTCTTAGCATTTAGAGACTGAATTTTCTAGGCATCACTGAGGACTTAAGAGTCTTCTTTGGTTTTCGGGCTAGGCCAATGGCTGCAAATAACCTAATTAGGACCTTGAAAGCAGCTTGCCCAGTGAAAGCTAATTTAATTAGGGTGTTATTAGTTGTTATAACTACTTTTTAATGAAGCTTTATTACATTCAACTACCCAAATCCTAAGCAATTGTATTAAATGTTGGCAAATGGCCCATTAGTCTTTGATTTCACTTCTTTTTTTGCATTGTTCACATGTATTCTGAGATTCAGATGCCTGTAGTTCATGTTTCCTCTTTGAACCAGGTGCAGCCTTGAAGGCATATCTTCTGTTTCAGTCGCATTATCCATTCTCTGGGATTCCCCATCCACTTATCCTAATGATAGGATAATGGAGTGATATGAGGGGTGGAGAAAGGCTGGGAGATCTCTCCCCAGTGGTCTTCCATATTCCCTAACGTTTCCATCATTAACCACTCCATGGCTGCAAGACTTTGAGAACAAGGGCCCCTGGTTGAAATGTAGATGCCATTTGCCAGACAGATGCAGAAAACCATTATTATGAATTAACACCTGAGGATTAGCTCATCATATTAGCTAATTGGTCAGTACAAGAGATTTCAACAGAATGGATTCTGGATGGAGTAGTTTTGATAGTGGCTGGTGTGTAGAGGAGGATGAAAGAGGAGGTAATTAGTTTCTACGGTGCAACAGGCACTGGGCGAGATATGTTTGCATATATTACCTCATTTAATTCTTTTAACAACCTTGATATGAATGTATTATTATCACTGACTTGCAGTTGAGAAACAGGAGCACAGAGAGGTTGAGTCAGCTTCAAAGTCACACAGCGAGTAAGAGGAAAAGCCTAGGTGAGCACTGAAGTGTGGGAAGCTTTGGCCTCCAGTGAGGCAGTGTAATGAACCTGGGGATTAACAACTTCAGAGGATTGCCTGAAGCCAGGTGAACCCCAGGATCGGTGACTGAGGGTCACTAAAGACAAGCTTGATAGGGCTCACAATTTGGCCTGAGTGCTGCTGATCTTTGTGATCTGTTTCTTTTCATTCTCAGTGGGCAGTGTGATGTCACGTATGATGTCATCATTAAGAGGCTAGGATCTGGCCTGAGGCAGACTGAGAGTCACATCCTGGTTCCAGCCTTTTTGTGCAGGTATGACCCTGGACAAATTGTTTACTCTCCCTAAGCTGTGTTTTTTTCATCTGGAAAGGAAATAATAGCAGCTTCCTCATAATCTTCTGGAAGTTGTAGAGTATGTGGCAAGCATCCGACACCAGGCAAGTGCCAGTGAGCAGGGCTTCCTCCGCATCTGAGCTGGTGTTGGAGTGCTTTGTGGCAATGGTGGGGAAACCGGAAACATGCACACAGGAAATGTAGGGTCCGTTCTTTTTTTTTTTTTTTGAGACAGAGTTTCACTCCTGCTACCCAGGCTGGAATGCAATGGCACGAACTCAGCTCACCGCAACCTTCACCTCCTGGGTTCAAGCAATTCTCCTGCCTCAGCCTCCCGAGTAGCTCGGACCACGGGCTGCGCCACCATGCCCAGCTAATTCTTGTATTTTTAGTAGAGACGGGGTTTCACCATGTTGACCAGGATGGTCTCAATCTCCTGACCTCTTGATCCACCGGCCTCAGCCTCCCAAAGTGCTGGGATGACAGATGTGAGCCACTGTGCCTAGCCGGGTATGTTCTTATTAGGCTGGTATTTCTTAAACTTAAGTGTGCAGTCCTCTGAAGTTGTTAACCCCCAGATTCATGACACTGCTCCACTGGAGGCCAAAACTTCTGACATGTCAGTGCTCTCCTAGGCTTTTCCTCTTACTCGCTGTGTGACTTTGAAGCTGACTCAACCTCTTTGTGCTCCTGTTTCTCAACTGCAAGTCAGTGATAATACATTCATATCAAGGCGGTGAAAAGAATTAAATGAGATAATATATGTGAACATACCTAGCCCAGTGCCTGCCTCTAGTACCCAGAGGGCTTGGGAAAACCCAGACTGCTTAAGCTGTACCTCCAGTTTCTGATTCACTTGTTCTGGGTTGGGGTCTAGGAACTGTCATCTATAACAGGTTTCCGGGTGATGTCGATGCTGCTGGGCTGAGGACCCCACTTGAAGACCCGCTGGATAAGGCCACTCGCGGTGGATGTTCTCTGACAACACAGGCAAGCAGCTGCAGGACGGAGTGCTCCAAGTCCACCTGAGCCTGGGGTGAGTCAGAGAAGCAGAGCTCTGGCTGTTTTCCTATTCCTCAATTTCTACCCTGTCTCTGTGGTGTCTTGAGTCCTTGAGAGCCAGTCTTTGTGCACAGGGGCCAAAAATGTTGTCATAATTTCAACACCTTATTTATTTATTCATAGCCACGCCAGTCCCTGGGCCTGCTTAGGTTGAAGGGATTTTTAATTTTGTTTTGTGGTTTGAATGAACTAATTTTGTGGCTGAAAGCACTGATACAATTTGGTTTTCACCGAGAGCAAAGAGAAGTTAGGCTCCAAGTAGCAATTTCTGATTAATCTATCAGTCTGAAAGTTTACATTTTTAATAGGCTTATCATTTTGATGTAACAAATGGTATAGACATTCTCAGACATACAGAAAAAACTGTGCTTGCTGTCCATCATTCTTTTTATCAAGAAGGGGCAACTAACTGGATACCAGTGAGATAATTTATGTAAAATTGTTTAACACAACAGCTTTCAAAGAACAAATTATAATAATTTATGTTATTGTGTTTACTGAACAAGTGTTTATTGAGCCCTTATAAAGTGACAGCATGCTTGATGTCAGGTTTTCTCCACTTCAGCAATGATTGACATCTTGGGCTGGGTAATTCTTTGTTGTGGGAGCTCTCCTTTGCACTGTAGGGTATTTAGCAGCATACCTGGCCTTTCTCAGTTCATGCCAGTAGCACCCTCAGCGTGACAAGCAAAAATGTCTCCTAACATTGCTAAACGTCCCCTGGGGAAAAATTGCTCTTGGTTGAGAACTACTGATTTACATGAATAATCTTATTTCATCTTTGCAACACCCAATGAAATTAGCTGTTATTTATTTTATTTTAGAGACGGGAGAAAAGAGGATCGGAGAGTTGAGAAATTTACCACAGGCCATAGAAGTAGTAAAGAAGCAGGAGTGGAGTTTGAACCCAGGACTGACAGTCCGGAGCCTCAGTTTTGACTACCATTCTTGCTTCTTAGAGTACACATTTAAGAATGAATAGAAGGCCGGGCGCGGTGGCTCAAGCCTGTAATCACAGCACTTTGGGAGGCCGAGGCGGGTGGATCACGAGGTCAAGAGATCGAGACCATCCTGGTCAACATGGTGAAACCCCGTCTCTACTAAAAATACAAAAAATTAGCTGGCATGGTGGCGCGTGCCTGTAATCCCAGCTACTCAGGAGGCTGAGGCAGGAGAATTGCCTGAACCCAGGAGACGGAGGTTGCAGTGAGCCGAGATCGCGCCATTGCACTCCAGCCTGGGTAACAAGAGTGAAACTCCGTCTCAAAAAAAAAAAAAAAAAAAAAAAAAAAGAATGAATAGAAGAGGCTAGGCGCGTGCTTCATGCCTATAATCTCAGCACTTTGGGAGATGATAGGCTGAGGTGAGTGGGTCACTTGAGATCAGGATTTCGAGACCAGCCTGGCCAACATGGCAAAACCCTGTCTCTACTAAAAATACAAAAATTATCCAGGTGTGGTGGTGCGTCCCTGTAATCCTAGCTGCTAGGGAGGCTGAGGCCCGAGAATCGCTTATACGCGGGAGGTGGAGGTTGCAGTGAGCTGAGATCATGCCACGGTTCTCCAGTCTGGGTGACAGAGCAAGACCCTATCTCAAAAAAAAAAAAATATATATATATATACACACACACACACACACACACACACAGAGCAAAGTCCACTCGGTCACAGACAATGTGGTAATTGCTTTCAGGAAGGAGAGAGGTGAATGAGATGAGGGGTGCGAGGCCTTTTAGATGTATTTGTAATATTTTTATTTCTTAAAAGAAGTATAGTAAATTCAGCAACATGTTAAATTTGGTGGAGGACTCATGGGTGTCCCAAATTACTTTTTGTACTTTTTGGAATGACTAAAATATGACAAATCTAAATATTGAAACAGTTTTAAAAAGAGAGAAACATGACCATAAATGTTAGGTAAAGCCATCTGATGTTTTTGAACTGTGTGACCATCATACCTGGCCCTCTAAAAAAACTTTAGTTTTTTTCCTCTTTTGCCTTTTTTTAATAGAGGATTTCCCCAACTATTCAGTGAGAAGAAACCTGTCTGATTTTTGTTTCCTCAAAACACATAGCCCATTCATAGAATTTGTCATGAGGTAACAGGTACTTAAATATCTCCTCTGGCTTCATGTACATTAATAGCTGATGTTCATGAAATATTTACCAGTGTTTGGCACCCAGCTGAGTTCTTTTCATCCATTTCTCATTTATTCCTCACTGCAATTCTTTGAGGTTGATGATTTCAGTCTCGTTTTACAGATGAGTTAACTGAGGCTTAGCAAGCTGAGCAGCAGAGCCAGACAGATATGTCAGATTTCAATGTCCCTGTTCTTTTTTTTTTTAGATGGAGTCTTGCTCTGTTTCTTAGACTAGAGTGCAGTGGTGTGATCTTGGCTTACTACAACCTCCACCTCCTGGGTTGAGGCAATTCTTTTGCCTCAGCCCCCTGAGTGGCTGGGATTACATGTGCCCGCCACCACACCGGGCTAATTTTTGTGTTTTTAGTAGAGATAGGGTTTCACCATGTTGGCCAGGCTGGTTTCAAACTCCTGACCTCAAGTGATCTGCCCACCTGGGACTCCCAAAGTGCTGGAAGTACAGGAGTGAGCCACCAGACCTGACCTTCAAGTTTCTGTTCTTTCTAGTACAGCAAGCTGCCGCTCAAGCAGGAGTCAGGAAGAGTTACCAAGGTGTCCCAGAGAAGGGAAGGTGCCAGCCCTCTTCCTCAAGATGAGGGGGTAGGATGGCGGTGATAGAGGCAGGTAGCAGGAAGGGCTTTCCTGGTCAGATTCTGGAAATCACTAGGCCTCTGGCTTAGTGGCATTCCCTTGATTTCCCAACCCTGTGGCAAGTGGGTCAAAGTTCACCCCATCCCTGCCTTGTCCTAGTTGCTGGTTCCAACACGTCTAGATTTAGTACAGTCTGAAGATAACCCAGCTTCTCCCTGTAGATCAGCAGTTCAAGGGTAGGATTAAATTACGCCCCTGACTGGAGCCCATTGGCTCCCTCTCAAAAGACCTCCTTCCCTGGCAGAATCTGCCCAAGCGGCCAGCTTCTTGCTTCTTGAGCGGTGCTCAGTTGAGTTTTCAGTTCGTGAGTCTGGCATCTTCCAGGGCCAATCCGAATTTTGCAATGAAAATGTGGTGCATTTGCTGTGCCCTGATCTAAATGTAGGCTGTCCACTGCATTCCCTTATCCACACAGGCCCCACAGTGGGGTGGGGATGAGCTTGGATGCCTAGAGGAATTCTTCCTTATTAACTCATCCTGTGAGTGCCTCCAACTGGATTGTTTTCCTGGGGATGGCAACAGTGTTTTATTTTTTTATGGTTTTAAATTGGAACATCAGTCCTGGAGCCTCAAACTACTGATGTGGACGTGGTGGGCCTGGCAGCCCACCACGTGTGAAAGATCAAATTGGTTTACACATCATGGCTGACTGCTTTTTGTTCTCAGCTCCTGGATAAAATACGCACGTTCTGAGGCTGTCTCCTCTGGCTTCTCTGATGGATGGGTGTTGCATCCCAAGAGGGCAGCTAGCTAGCCCTGAACTCAGGGAAGCTGACACCAAATTAGCTGGAAGGATTTGAAGCTTTCAGGACATCTTATCACCTTTAGAGGAAGTCATGTAGATGCCTGAAACTTCTTGTGCCTCAGGCAGTGAGAAGCTATCGGCAGAAAAACTGGCTTCTTCATCAATGTTGAAACACACGTTGTGGATGTGCAAATTGCTACACTATTCCCAGAGGGTAATTTGACAATATACATCTGAGGCCTTTCCAGGAGTCTGCCTTTTGATCTAACCATTCAAAGTGGACTTTATCCAAACGAAATCCTAAAGGGCAACTGCCCTAAAGATATTAAGGAAAAAAATGTGTGTATCACAATATTTATCACAGCTAAAAACTGAAAACAAATTGCACATCAAGAGGGAATGGATTATTTTAAACATATAAAAAGATGCTTAACCTCATTCACAAAAATTCCACCTGTCAAGTTGACAAAAATCCAAAAGTTTGATAACAGCTCTTAGTGAATGTGTGGGCACCCTCAAATTGAAATGTAAATTGATATAATCTCTATGGAAGACAATCTGGCAATATTTATAAACATGAAAACATTTACTCAGAATAGTCCACTTACAAGATTTTACAGATATATTTACTCATGGAAATTGGTGATGTATAGGAATATTATTTTGTAGCAACAAAAATTTAAAATAACCTACAGTGTTTTTCCATGGAGATCTATTTGAAAAAAAAGAAGTACTATGCAGCTATTAAGAATGAAGCTACTCTGTTTACATTGAAATGGGAAGACCTTCAAGATACATTGTTCAGAAAAAAGCAAAATGTAGACTAGTGTTTATGTTATTTCCATTAAAAAGATCATATAAACATATTTATATATGCATAGAATATATCTGGAAAGATATATAAGAAACTGGTAACAGTAGTTGCCTCCTGTTCAATGGAGGGGAATTGGATGACTGGGGCCAAGCCAGTGAGAGACAGACTTTTCACTCCACATTTGTGCCTTGTAAATGTGATACCTTGTGTGTGTCATATCTATTGGTATAAATGACTTGTTTACATAACTGGATTGGTTAAGTACATTACGATACCTTCCATTATGGAATTCAGTGCGCATTAAAAAGATAGGAAAGGCTGAGCATGATGGCTCATGCCTGTAATCCCATCACTCTGGGAGGCTGAGGTGGGATGACGGCTTGAAACCAGGAGTTTGAGACCAGCCTGGGCAACTTGAGGAGACGCCATTTGGACAGAAAAATTTATAAATTAGTTGGGTGTGGTGGTGCGCACCTGTGGTCCCTGCTACTTGGGAGGATGAAGTAGGGGACTGGTTGGGTCCAAGAGTTCAAGACTGCAATGAGCTATGATTGTGTCACTGCACTCTAGCCTGGAGGACAGAGTGATACCCTTTCTTTTTTTCTTTTTTTTTTAAAAAAAAGGAAAGGAAAAACAAAAAAATGAAAAGACTCATATTTATTGATATGATAAGAAATCAGCCAGCATGACTCACTGATTAGTGAAAAAAGCACTGGGTCCTCCAATTTGTGTTAATACACATAACAGCACACGCAGAAAATTCTGGAAAGTTACATAGGCAAATATTAAACATGGTTATATCGATGGTGCTATGGTCTGAATGTTTGTGTCTCCCAAAATTAATATGTTGAAACTTAACCCCCAGTGCAGTGGTATTGGTAAGTGGGGCATGTGGAAGGTGAGTAGGTCACGAGGGCAGAACTCTCATGAATGGGATTGGTGCACTTATAAAAGAGGCATTCGAGAGCCTCTTTGCCCCTTCTGCCATGTGAGGATGTGAGGACACTGAATGTGCCAGATACTGAATGTGCCTGCCCCTCGATCTTAGACTTCCCAGCCTCCAGAATTGTGAGCAATAAATTCTGTCGTATTTTATAAATTACCCAGCTGAAGGTATAGCAGCCTGAATGGACTAAGGCAGGTGATATGATTATGGATGACTTTTCCTTTCTTTTGTATAAATTAGTTTTTGCTACCAAGAAAGAGAAAATTCTTCTCATTTTGAAAAAATTAAAAAATCACGAACTTGACGGCATGATTTTGAACTAGGGGAATGAGCAGGGCTGTAACCAGTAGAGGAAGGGGCTGAAGTCATTTCTTTCTGTCTTTTTTTTTTTTTTTTTTTTTTTGAGCTGGGGTCTTAGTCTGCTGTACAGGCTGGAGTGCAGTGGTGTGTGGTTATGGCTCATGGCACCGTTGACTTCCTGAGCTCAAGGGATCCTCCCCACTCAGCCTCCCAAGTAGCTGGGATTACAAGCACGTGCTACCACACAAGGCTAATTTTTATTTTTTATTTGTAGACATGGGGGTCTCCCTATGTTGCCCAGACTGGTCTTGAACTCCTGGGCTCAAGTGATCCTCCTGCGTCAGCCTCCCAAAGTGCTGGCATTACAGGCGTGAGTCACTGCTCCCAGCATGGGCCAAAGCAATTTCTAAGTGTTCCAGGGCTCGTAATCACAGAGCAGGATATATATACATTTATATATATAGTATGTTAAATTATATATATTTATAATAATATATTAAATATATACAATATATTTAAAATAGATATATTAAATTAGATTGAAATTAACATATATATGTTAAATTAGATTGAAAATGACTAAGAACAACAATCTTTTCTTTTTTTACGATTGATAGTTTTTCTTCTGAAATCATAAAAATATTTAATTGTCCCCACTATAATTCTATTGAAACCCAATTTGTATTCTGTCACATTTTCTTAATTTGATGTTCTTAATCATAGAGTATTTGCTCATTGCAACATGTGAAATAATTCAGAGGTTGTGAAAAAGCTAATAATCTACTCCTCCTCACTCCAATCTACCCCTTGAGGTAACTAAACTAATAGCTTTCAAAAATGGGATTAGACAAAACTCTATGACTTACCTTTTTTACTTAGATACCTTGAACAACTCTCCTAATAGATTAGTTAGTATAGATCTAACCTATTTTTTTTTTTTTTTTTTTTTTTGAGACAGATTCTTACCTGTTGTCCAGGCTGGAGTGCAGTGGCATAATCTCAGCTCACTGCAACCTCCACCTTTCGGGTCCAAATGATTCTCCAGCTAATTTTTATATTTTCAGTAGAGATGGGTTTCGTCATGTTGACCAGGCTGATCTCAAACTCCTGACCTCAGGTGATCTGCCTGCCTCAGCCTCCCAAAGTGCTGGGATTACAGGTGCTAACCACTGTGTCTGGCCTAACCTATTTGTTTTAACACCACTTTACATTTTACTATATTTTAAATTTCTTATTACACATAATCAGGTTAAACCTAAAATACCAAATCCTCCTTGCCCCAGCAACTTCATTTCTAGGAATTAATACTGAATATGTGCACACAGATGTATATACAAGAGTATTCATTACAACATTGTAGTAAAAGACCGAAATGAACCTAAATGTCAATCAACTGGGAAATTGATAAGTAAAATAGGACACTCCATAAAATGGATTATTATGTGGCCATGAAAAGCAGCAGTAACGATGCGTTCTGACATAGAACAATGTCTAAGATATGCCGTGCTGTTGAGTGAAAAACGAAACCTTCAGTGAAGTGTTTCTAAAATGACACCATGAATCAAAATAAACACAGTGAAAACACACACATTCTACATGCATACACACTCAGACATATACACATACACATATGGATATGCATGCTTACAAATAAATATGTTTTGGAGAGCATACGCAATCTGGTAACAATGTTTACTTCCAGGGAAAGAAAACAGCATGTTGGATTTGAACATGGGGTAGGTAAGAGCAGAAGAATTTTTTCATTTTTTTTTTCTGATTTGAATAAGAATCTATGCATCATTTAAAAATAAACTAGTTGATTTTTAAAAATTGCTACAAGTAATCATGCAAAATAGTTACAAGGCATTATGGCCTGGTCCAAGTTCCCTTGGTCCTACGTCTAAAAACAGGCATTCTTTACAAA